TTGACCCGGCATCTGTTGATGTGAAGATTAGACAGTTTGATTCCGGAAGAACAAAAATCCATCTCCAAAAAACTTGGTTGTTAGACAGTAAATTGAAATGTCAGGCAGAAAAATCAAGGTATGCTTTTCATTTTGTGGGATTAAGAAGTAGCTGCACAGTATCACTTGAACACTGATTAACAATTAGAGAGTATAATCTGACACATTGCCTTAAATGGTGTGACAGCCAGACACCGAATGGCCTGATGGGCGGCACCTACACTCAGTGAGATAAATAAGGATTGTTTTGAACAGTGAATCATGCAAAGCCATTGTAGAATAAAAATATGGAGCTAGAAATGAACAGAATAAGACCACCTTTGCTTTAATAACATAAATGATTGTTAATGTGGATCAGTCCATTCAAACGCCAAACATTTGTTGGCTTTGGCTTCTCAAATGTGAATCGTAAATGTGCTCTTAACTTTATATAAACAAAATTATATGTGTTTGCTTTATAAACCATTAAGAGAACAGTTCTGTATACTAAAGGTTTGAATTTTTGATGTTCTCCCTTGTCTCCCCTCAAACAGGTGTATATTTCTGAGATGGCACATGAAAAGGTCCGTGGGACTTTAGGCTCCTGTGTGCAGCTCATGGTGGTGATAGGCATCATGGGAGCTTATCTTGGAGGTATGAAACTGATGTTTAAAGTTTTTATGGCATCTTTAAAACTTCCTTTGCAAAGTCTACATGGCTACAAGAACTGCAGTGTCAGATACAAGAAAAAGTGTCAGATAACAACAACGTTTTACAACCTACAAATCATTGAAAGATGATGTAGCAAATGTGGCATTCACATGATCATCATCATATATGATCCGATTCCTCTGCTGCCTCTTAGACAACAGCCTCACTGCTTGACCTGTGTGAAAATGGCTGCTTCTGGCTAATCTTGTTAGCTGCGTGCTGTGCATGATTTCTTAATAAAAGCTGGTATGTTTTGAGAGGTGGATTTGTCTCGTGGTGCTCTGGAGGTGGGTTGCTGTGCACAGCAACTGTGTCACACTGCAGTCGAACAGCAGTTTGGTTGTGGGTAGATGTGGATTTGAATTGTATCAAAGGTCTGTCAGAGTTTGCAGTGATAACTTGCGGAAAAACATCATGAGGTTAAAAATAGAACAATTTATTTATGAATCAGCTGAACAGGAAATGATGAACAACTATTTAGCTGATCAGTAAACTGGTTTAGAACCTGTTTCTCTGTCTGAGCCTTGTGACTGAATTTTGACGTGACCATAATATAACTGCACTCCCTCTGTGTGCCCCCAAAGCTAAAATTACTCAAATAAGTTAAAAAAAA